TGTCACGAAGCAGACTTGTGCACTATGGGTACAAATTGGCCCCGAGAGAGCTGACAATAGACGATCAATTTCCATCGCGTTCTAATAAAGCAGTTCTTCTGAATACTGGAGATGTTCAAGGACACTTAATTATCGCTGGGAAAAACTCTCGTTATATTTCAGAGCCATATGATTAATACTTAACAGATGGTAAGCTGTTTAAAGTAGAAATGACTTTTAAAAGCTAGATTTTTTTTTATCTCAGTCGTTACGCAAATAGATGATATGAGCTTTTGGGCAGGAATTTTCATAGTTCGTGTGGTTAAATAAAGAATCAAACACTCTATTTTATTAGGCGAAAATTAAGGGTTATCTTCTATGTAAGTTCCTTTTGATGACTGGGCCGTTGTGAAAACTAACGTCGCCATTGTCGCATGTACGCGGCGGCGTAATCCTCCTTGAAATGTTTCGAAATAGGCTAGCGCTGTTTGTACTCAAGGAGTCAGGCTAGTTATTATTTTCAGCGTAGTTTCGTGACGGCGGACGATTCGCTGCCTAATAGAAAATGTCCACTACTACCCTGAGTCCTAACGCTTCGGTTGCGCAAAAATTCCGCTCAACGAAAGTTGACTTCAACTGCTTTTGTAAAACGTGCTAGCAACCAGTTATTATAGCTATAGCTGATAGTGATTAATGGAACCTTAAACTGGTGCAACGCGTCTCATGTAAATGTCTACATCGGCAATGCCGTTGACAACCTGTTTCTGCTTCATTTTTATAAGCTTCGAATTTGCTATACGATAGAATATTTTTCCAAAAGATCGTGGCTATACGTGTAACTGTGCGCGGAATTATGAGTACCTTATGATATACCCTAGCACTAAAAGAACGTGCACTTACGCCGTGTAATTAGAGTTCCATAGAGTGCTGCGAGAGTACTCATGTAACGCTTAGCTTCTGGGTCTGCTTCTGTTTGATGCACCTTCGGCGCATAAACTCGTATATAAAAGAGTGTTATTGTGTAACCCTCGAGACGTCCGTCTCCTTTGTGTTTTCACTATAGCTGATAAAAGCTCTGGATTAGCTCTTAGATAATACAGGCTAGTTCTTAGAACTGTTTCTCTTAGATTTAAAAACCCAAAGTCAACTGTCATTTAGGCATCGAGGTAGGTATATTCATTGTAAAGAAATATATTACAATCCTGTTTAATATTACTTGCAATCCTGGTAAAAGTGAGAAGCTTAGTTCTCGAATCCCAGAGACCGTAAAAGCGTATATATGTGTTTGTGTGGATGAGAATATAGCATTTCTAGGGAAATTAGATCGATATCATAAGTTCTACCAACTGTAGTGCTGCAGACAAAAACCACGATCACTGCTTTTCTCGTCACGATTTCGGAAGATATTTTTACAATGATTACCCCAGTTGGAGCTTGCTTTCCCTTCCTAAGTGATCCCGCCCTCGTGTAGGTACTATCTAATCCTTACGCTAGCTTCGTTTGACTATTATGTCCTTGTTTTTTTTTCTTGTTTAGATACATGATAAGTAAAGCGAGCTGCCGTACTCAAATTGTAAATAACGAGCTTGACGCAGAGTCGAAGAGTCCCGCCAATGTAATTTTACAAAATCATGCTTCCACCGGAGGGCAAGCGCCTCATATTACAGCTGGTAGCAGTGAATTAGGTGAAAGTATCCCTTTTGTCGTACTGGAGGGTCGTGGAGAAGAGGAGTTTGAAAAAGGCATACATATGTCAACTACACCTTAAGAATAATACAGCTCGTTCCAGCTGCCCGAAAACTTGGAACTTATACTAAGCCAGTTGGACTTATGAGCATGTACAATAGCTAAATATAGATAGGTTAATAACTTATTTTCATAGTTGCTTCTATCTTGCCACTTTCTATGATGACCTTGTCTCCTTAAAATTATGACAAGGACAAATGCAAGGAGAAAGACAAGGACACAGATAAGGATCATAAAGCTCAGGCTTTAAAACTCGAAGGAGTACATATATTAGGGACTAGCCTCATGCAAAACGTATTTTCTGGAAGGTAGGGCACTTTAGAAACTATCTAACCCTGCTTGTTACCTTAACCTACTTCTTCGTGGATCTATTAAAGAACGTAGCCAACGATAACATATTAATGCTTTCTAGTAACTTCTATTAACAGGTGAGGAACTGAATTGGGACAACATTAGGTATGAAGTACGGTCACAGCATTTTTTCTGTCATGTATTAAAATATTTAATACATAATAATAAATAGTATATAGTAATAGTGAATAATAAATGTTATAAATATGAATTTCTAATAGGCTTTGATTAAAATTGTAAGAAGAAAATGTAAAGAAACAAATTGGGTTCATACAAAATGGTGAGATATCACTTTGGGTTGCAGATCAAACTTCATTTTTAAACTAGTTAAACTTCTATAGCGTGTGAATAGTTTTGTAAGTCTTTTATACTGCGGTATGATATGAAAGTGGCGCCATTTCATTCGAGGCTTAAGATTTGAAGATTTTTCTTTCTTAACTTTCAAGTGGAATTTCAAACAGTATTAATATTAAAAGCAGTTACATTATTTAATCATAGTAGTTATAAAAAATCACCCCCGTATTTTACCTCTAGTTAAATACATGCTGCATTTAGGTGTCAGTCTCCTGTAGGTATCATTGATTCAAGTTAACAGAGTAACTAGGTTATAAGTGGAAATTATTTCTAAAAACTAAGAAGTAAGTTTGCGGCTATCGCCAACAAAATTATGGATTACAAGTTGACAGAAAGACAATGATGCAAGTAACACAGAATCTGAGCTTCGATTTAGCTTCTTCATTCATATTGGTGGTATAGTACGTGTCGCTAATTAGGCCTGAAGCAGCAATAAAATTATGATAGAATATGAAATATCGTTGTCTTTGGATAATAAACTAGATGGTTTTAATATTAAACAGAAAACTTTACAATTTTTCGTTATTGTTTAAATATAACACTGGCTTAGCATGGTGTTTTTAAGGTTGCGGCCTATTAGGAGCCGACTTCTTCTCAAGGCCAACATGTTAGGTCTTTTTTTATATCAAACTAAATCATTTCTGTGTTCCGAAGACAATAAATAATAACTGATACCATTAATCGTAACCAGCTATGACTCGTATTTAGAGCAGGATTTATACCTACTCAATTAAACAGGTTTTTTTTTTTATTTCAACAGATTTCACAGTATTTCAGTCTGAGAACAATATTGTAGCGTAGGCTGTTATCAAAGTGGATAAATCCTGTTCTCACGATTATGCCGACGTTTCGTGGGGTATCAATAAACTATAGAACTTGAAGGGATGCTAGGAGTAATTGATAACGTTGTGAAATATTTCAAAGAAAAATCGCTACCATTTATTGGTCTGTATTTAGTTCAACTGTGAAATTAGGCGATGCTTTCGATATTATTCAAATGTATATTTTTTTTTATATTATAAATAGTAAGCTACACTATAGATATCGATGCTCTGTCACGGTTTAATTGGCTAAAACGTCGTGGATTGGCTCAAAGATTATTACTATATATACATATATATATATATATATATATATATATATATATATACATACTGGACGATTTGGTATTATATACCGAAGTAAGTTCAGCGGAAAGTCAATGTTCGTAAACAGATCTTACAGAATTTATTTTATTACTTCTAAGCTCAACTCTAGTAGGCTATGCTCCAAGCCGAAATCTTATTTACATCGTATATTACATAAAACTCAAACGAATACGTATAGATTAAAAACAATCGCAAACGTTATTGGCTAGAAAGTTTTCATCGGTAAAATCGATTTGTAAAACGGCTAAGATCTACAAGATTAGATATCTCCTAAGCTCTGAGCACGTACGGCAAAATGTGGGAGAGCCGTAAAGTTTGCGAGTCACAATAAGCTACGCTCTTGATAGAAAATTACGAAACTAGGTAGATCAACGGGGTTCATCAGGAGGTATCTGTGTTTTTATGTACCTACAATTCACATACGTATTATAGTCGATATCATTGTTTATAGTACAGGAAAACAAAGTTCGAAATGATATTTCTTGAATCTTTGAACCCCAGCACCAATAAATGATTGTGGTCACTGTTCTGTGTTAGATAGCGCGTCTACCAATTGAAAACTAACGCCTTTATTCGATTTTTTATAGGTGAGCCTGACGACAGACCGATTTTTATAGGCCACTAGTCTCGTGTTTATCTGTTTATGGCTTCCAGCATCTAATCTATATACGCAGTGAGTTTAATAATTCATAAATCCAATATTTTTCTTTGTGAAGTTAACTTGTTAGGGTATTACCTATTAGACGATCCGAATTGCAAACAGTTAACTCACATGGATCTAATGAAATTTTGCGGAGTACTCAAAGTGAGCTATCGTTCTATTTTTATCGTGTTGCTTTCTATTGATTCCTATACGAGGATCGATCTTTATAGTCAAACCGAATATGAGATTGTTCCAGTTAAATGCTTTTATTTGATACTTCCTCCTGTAGCTGTTCTACTCTTATGCGGAAGAACATTCCGTTAAAAACGAAGGATTTTTTTCAGTTACGAGCATAACAATAGATGTCCCGTAGCACACCTACGCCATTAACTGAATCAATATGAGCCACGGTAGCGTCACAACAGGCGCGTATACCTGATCCGGTTCCTGCATACATTTAAGTTGATACCTAGAAACCTGAATAAAAAAGATCTGTGTTGTATAGCTGTAGAGGATTATTTCTTTCTCGACGTCTGGCCGTCATACCGCCTATTGCGTTAGCCAAAAGACCTCTTTCACTCCGCTCAGTGGTGTTCCGCTCGTCTTCCATCCCGCGGCCGCCTTATGATTAAAGATTACCAAGGTGAGGAAGGATCAGCAGAACAGACACAAAAGAAAGCTCGTATTTTCCATACTATTCTGTTAACTATGGCGGAGAAGCCTTTCTTCCGACCTCTTTCCCATGACGATCGAGGAAGAGAATCGTCCGCCGTAACGGGCCATCGCAGCACAAATGTCGTGCAGCAACTAGACTGATCAGTACAAATAGTAGTCTTGCCTACCGAGCGATCAAACCAAAGCTAATTTACCCAGTTAATCATGGTGAGTGATCATATCTGATTTCGTCTTGTTAATTAATAGTGATTATGACTACCATTTAACAACTAGACTAGGACAGAAACATAGAACCAACTCTAGGATTTACTTTAAACAGAGGAATATCGTAGAGAACTTAGTGCTGAAAGCCGCCGTTACTCTCTTGGATGAAGTGCGCGGAGTAGCAATTTTGAAGTAGTAAATACTGCTACAGGGACGTTTCTTTGTTAATTTCATAGTATTTGAAAACAATGAGAAAATGATGTAATACACAATGCAGTAAAAGGCTGACTCAGGATATGCTATAAATCGACCTCGTTACCTCAGTTTACAGTGGACTTTGTGTTGAGGGGACCGTTTTTAGTTTTTTCGAAAATCGCTGTCATTTATGCTAGTCGATACAGACGTATTAGCCTTTAGTGTACTATTCAGTTTTCGCCATCATATACGTATGTATTACATATAGAAACATTTTGACTTTGCAGCATCTTGTAGCAACTGTTGCAGTGCTTGTTGTGGCGTCGGTATCAGGCCAGCGTAGTGCCCAGGAGAGCTACGGGCCACCTCAGCCATTCCAGTTTGCCTACGCATCGCAGGACCCGGAAGGCTCGCATTCTCACAATCAACAGGGAGACGCCAATGGACGCATCACTGGCGAATATAGTTTGCAGTTGGCTGACGGAAGACAGCGTATTGTCAAGTAAGACATAGCCATTTCCAGGGTTTGCTGAGACAAGCAAGAACTCACAACATCAATGTTAGGCTAAGTATTTGCTACTTGCTCTGTACTTGACGAACGCTACCTGCTTGAAAATGATGGTGCGCATTTCTGTCAGCTAACGCCTCTTGACAGATTCCTACGATTAGCAGTAAATACGTACCTAATATTAGGCACGTCAGTCGCATCCGATCGTACAGAGTTCGGCTGGCGTAAATAATGTTTCTGTACTTCATATGTTCAGACATATTTTTCTGTACCATCTGATAAGTACAATGAACTCGACTGCTTTTTACAGGTATACCGCTGATGAAAACGGCTATCGTGCGGAGATAATCACCAATGAGCTGGGAACAGAAAGCAAAAATCCTGCTGATGTAGTTATTCAGTCATCTGCGCCGACTGGCGATCAGGCCGCGATTGCTGCATCAACTGGATCTGGGGTACCTCGTCCTGCCAGGCCCGCTCCGCGACGACAGGGATAATTATCCCAAACGATTTCGCTTATAGTACCAAAGTGTGCCATAGCAAATGATAGCAAAATGATTTATTTTACTTCGACAGATTGTTAATAATACGGTAGGAAATATCTGATTGCTTGATCTGCATATTGCGCGAATAAACTCGACTCCTAACATGACTGCATGTGCTTTAATAAACTTTTTTTTGGATTTATGGTTTTACCATTCCTTTTAGGACAGTACGAGATAGTTCTGCGTTAAAGGGTGACACGATTTTACGCCAAACACTAATAGGCAACAAAGGGTGCCGAAAAATCTAAAGCCCTTCTTTTCCTCCAAGGAATCCTAGAACAGTCTTGTTTGGCCTAACAGTTTACCTTGCTGTCAACAAAGATAATTCAAATCGATAAAAACGTCTGAATTGCTGCCTATTGTTGTACTATGAAAATATGACTATATTTAGAGGAAGAAATAAATCATAAGACCAGTTCTTTGAGGCAATTATTAAAAAATGAAAACTACTCTCGCAGCTAGTAACAGTGGGTTTCTGAAGGTTTACGGCGAGTCGCATTTGACCAGACGCGCGTTTTCTGCAAGCCGTCTTCCGCTAATAATTCAAATGGGTTGCCGCTTGAATTATTGGCGGAAATAGACGCTTTAATTATGGCTAGCGACGTCATTTTGCACTAACGAGCTGCTTGTTCAAGAAGCCGAGAATTTGTTCAAAATAGAAAATGTGGTTCTATGAATGATTAACATCTACATCAAACGTCTTTGTAGGTAATTGCACTTCGCAAAACAAGTTGGCCTTACAGAACTAATCACTAATGAGAGATGAGCGTTTGTTTAATTCTGAGACCAGTTTATTCACTGTATACATCTGACATAACCTTCGTTTCATAAAGAATGATTAAGATCAGACAAAAAAAAAGCCACGATGTATGCAATCTCACGAACCTACTGTATGTTCGATCTACGTCAACTCGTATTAGGCAACAAAGTCAGTAGCGATCAGCAGAGGACAAAAGCAAGGGGTATTTAAGTACAATAAACTACAGATGATGACTAGGTGCGTACGTATGTTTTTGCGGTGATTCAGAAGGAAAAGTCAACGCCTGCCGAATTGGTATTCAACGAGTGGGCTACCGACGGAATACAAACGCAAGTTTGAAAAAAAACCAAGGACATGCCGGAATGCGAAAGCTGTTTGCTTGTAGGATCGGAAAATCGGGAATGGAACTCGATATCAGCTTGTGGCCGAATTGGATGTCTTCCAACCAAACTCGTTCCTACGCAACAGCGCCGAAGTACATTTATAAATACCCCTCGGGACACGCACAAATTAAAACAGGATGAAGCAAACCTCAACGATAGTAGCGAAACGGAAACTTACCTCAATTGGAATGGAAAACTTAAATCAAACTAGCAGACAAAAGTACCATGTAAGAGATCGTACGATTAGTCAGTTAAATAATTTTCCGATAATGTCAAATCGACCCCGACTACGCCCGTCCTCTAAATATTAGGAATATTTACGTAAATACGATAACACAATTCTTAATAATAATAAGAGACATTATAGTATAATTATAAGACAATAGGACATATATAAAATGATAACAACCGGAGCTTTGGCAACATAACGCATCGAATAGTTTCGATAGCCTCTTTCAGCTTGTAATACAGGCCCCAGAAATAGCTCTAGTCACGAGTGAAACAATCACAAACTTTGCCATAAAATCCCATTAACGATTTCCCCAATCGTATATTTTTGCGTGCAGGAAAGACTCAACACTTGCAGGTTTTTATTAGGAGTTGCTTGTTCAGAAGCTAATTATCTAGTTAGGTTCGCTTAAGGACTAATAGGCCTTATGCTATTACGTTGTAGTCGTAGTATATGATTTAAAGCTGAACATCAATTTTCATGTTTCTTCAAAGCTACTCTACTATATAAGTCGTAATATAGCACAATAGACGTTATTTACATGGGCACAATTAGCTTGTTTTTTAAATGTATTTGTCAAATAACTTAAACGGCCAATTTATAGTGCTGTAGAATTAATTATATTTTCACCCTCTAACTTTATCTATTTTGTCCCAGAAATGTTCGGAATTTTTTATGAGCATTACCACTATCATAAAGCTAGTATGGTATTTTTTGTTGTGTATAAGGGTTGTTGAGTATCCAGCAGCGCTATATTAAAGATTGCATAAGTTATTTCAATATTCAGTACATGAACAAGTTATATTGTTTCAAGAGCTAATATTATTAAAGCCGAATTCACAGGTGGAACATGCGATTCGCTAACTTAAGATAAATTTCAACATCTTCAGTGAACCCTTCTTTCCGAATGGAGGTGATACGTCCCCACCTCTTCTGTGTGAAACGGATATTTTTAATCTATTGTGTTTATCTACTGTTAACGTCGTTTAGTGGCAGAAGGATTCGAGGTGTTGGTGCTTCGATGCGTTTTGAATCGTTTCGTGTTGTTCCGCTATCGGTGTATAATTACTAGATCCTTCCTAATGTCACTTAACTTCGCGAAAACTATAGTGCCAAGATTTGCCAAAGTCAGCTAAGAACAGAAGCTCTAGACGCGAATATTACATGATGAGGTAGATCGAGAGCGTACTCTGCTTCGGATTCGCTGATGGGTTCCAAAACACGCGTTAACTGCAGACAGAAGAAATAATTCACTACCGATTCGGCCCATTTATATACATCAGTAAAGTTTAATGGATTTTCTTGAAAGATCGAGTGAATGCGATGTCCAACAGGTCAGGTGCAGGCGAGGTATGAGAATGATTCAACCTATTCTGCAATATAAAAGCTACTTTCTTTTCAATATTGTGCCGATATTAGTGATAACAATTTCCGTGAAAGTTTCTGATGATGGTACTGAGTCTGGCGGATGTAATTGATCCTCAATTTACTTGACAAAGAGTGAAAAGTCGCATGTAGCTAAGATTACGCCATTTCCATATGGCAGTGAGATGATAGCCGCTCACGAAATCTAAACCATATTTGGACACAGTTGAAATGAAAATCTGAGAGGAATTACAATTAATTATTAACACACTAAATGTTATTATGTATTTCCGAAACTTAAATCAGGGACATAGTCTATTTGCATGTTTTTTACCATTATACACCGGAATGACTTAGCAAAAATATGGCCACCCAAAAATCTCAGAGATCGACTTTGGGTTTACATAATGGTTCAGTAATGTTTCGCGTGGGGGCAGTAGTTGAACGACGCCAGGCCACATATGCGATATCAATCTGTCGCAATGCGATAATATAAATATAGTAAAATTCGCACAGGGAAAAATGCACGCAAGCCGTAGTTTTCTGGACGACAAAAGCCATCGGAGGGCATAGTGGTGAACTGGTGCTACCATCGTCATTGGCATTGTATCAGAGATACACCATTCCAGCTATTTGCTGGCGGCGTCAGGCTGGCCTATCCCTAATTACATCTAGATATTCCTTATACAACAATAGTGGGCAATGTAAGTGGAAAAATGCGTTTTTCCCAAATAAAATCATTTAAATTAGACTAACACTGCTGTTAGGAGAGAAATGTTTGAGCTTGAGCACTGTATCTATGCTTAAGAGGACTGTTAGGTCATCAGCTTCGGAGCTAGCTTTACTTGATTTTAACGTATGCCAAGGTACTTACACGGCGGCGTACCCCATTGTGCTGAATGTCTTCTCCACGGTCCTTCGGGCGACCTAGATGCAATTTTGAAAAGCTAATAATTTACATCATCATGCGGCCACGCTAAATGATTAACTGAGCCCCATAGTACTAATTATATTAATAATTTTATATTTACGGAATAGCAGTTATCGTTTGTGTGATTCTGTTGGGATAATGGCAAGCTCAACTTTATCGCCCATGCTAAACTCTTGTCACTTTGACAATAGGACAGAGCCGTATTTCAGACGAAAGCGGTTAGCCTACGACTTCGTACATAGATTGTAGAGTTGATCACACTAAGCTCTATTTATTTGCAAGATTTTTGCACACTTAGCACCCTTAAAACGTTCAACAAGCATTTGAAGCGGTTCCATGAATTTGCCAGGCGGCAATGTTGGGGTCTATATTGAATACCCAAGGCGCAGTCTGCAGGTTTTATCATAAACCTGTTTTCGGATTAAGTCGAATGAAAATTAGGAACAAATATCCATAGTAACTAAGCCATTCACTGCCAAGGGCCATATATAGCTAATTATAAAATACTGTCGAACGTGATAGTAAGGATGCTATTTTTCGTCTCCAACATTTAAAAGTAATATATTATACGTTGATATTTGACAAAGAAGAACTCTATGGGCAAAAATCATCGTGAGAATAACGACAATAACAATAACAATAATCGTACACTCTGGAGCAAACAAACGTTTATGCGTATGTATAAGATTACAAACTATAAGCGTGGACAATCTCGAAAAGTCTTATAATAAATTTATGTCTTTTTGCATACAGATACAGGTTGACAAGAAACTAGTATGGTGAACATGACGTCTCTCAAAAAGTTCCCTCAGACGCTTTAATGTCAACGGAAGATGATGACCCTCTGCGCATGCCACTCAATAGCGATTGAAAAGTTAAGCTATAATCAATCCTAAAGGTCGCTTACTCTTTAAAACTTCGTGAAATAGGCACAAAGTTTGTTTCCAGAAAAAAGCTGGAATAAGCAGTGAGTCTTCTGAAACGGGCTGGTGAAAGCCCCGCAACGAGAACCCTGCAATACGCCTTCTTCAAGAAAAATGGCCTTCTTTCGAGCACAGCAGTGTCGTACACGATATGCGAGCAATTCGTCGGAATCATCTATTTTTAGGTATAGCATCAGGAATTTGCCTTCATGAGGTATGTACCCAGAGTGGGTCTTACTGGGCTTATCTGGAGTTTCGTCAATAGACTTCTGAAACGGCATGGCAACCACATGAGCAGCTATTAATAATCATAGAATATTTCCGTTAATTCCTCATCTTTCCTCATTTCTTTGGTCATCAATATCTGGTAATAATTTTCCAACGCTGAGATCTGAACCACCGTGGCAGCATGCTTGCTACTGATAGTTACCGTGGCAATAACTCCACGACCACGTTGCCCTTTTAAGACATCTTCTGTGTCAGGTAAGTGTAAGGTAATATCTTCTGCAGTTTGAACCATGTATGAAAAATATCGTAAAAATGAATCAGTCCGGAGCTTCCCGATGGCAACGAACGAAGGAAGCGCCAGTTCTTTACTATACAAAGCGACTAGGCTTCTTTTTCTAGAAGAGAAAAAGAATTAACTTATGTCACTGGTTTGATTTTAGCTATTTTAGATGATCAACCGTTTGAAGCTGTTGCCGATCGAACTTTCTGTCAGTAAGAGGTACAAGCCTCCCGACAGTAAAATTAAATTCGAATGGGAGATTCATAAACAGAGAATCAGAGAACAACGGAAAAGTTGTTCGCTGTTTCTAGCAATAAAATAATAATATCTTTGCAATAATTTATTACTTGTTTCGTTCGATTCCATGCATATAACAGAGATTTTATAGAGCTTTGCGTTCGAGTAATTACTAACCCATTTTTTCAACTTTGGCTCTTATTGTAACCTTCTGTTCTCCCATCTGCACATTTATTTTATCTCTTTGTTTATCCCTTGCTATATTTCACAAGTTAGTAGAAAATGTAATTCGCGCTACTATATATACTTGTGTGCTATGGAATACTGAGGCACGCCAATTTTTTTGACCCGGGTCGTGAACTGTATCATAACTTCCGAGTCCTTGTAGACGCATACAGATTGAAACTGCAAAGAATCTTAACAATATAATTGAGACAGCTCTGTCGATACGCAATATAGATAGAAGTCGCTGACGTCTAGGACGTCAAGCTGTCAGCTGTATGGCAACAGATATTACGTTTCCGTCTAGTGTTTACAATCAAAATAGACCCTAGAAAATTAATTATCAGTTATACATATTCATTGTGGAGCCGATATTACTAGTCGCGGATAGATTAGTGCATCGGGGTCAATCGTGTTCCCCCCTGACCGGCGCACAGCGTCTGGGCGAAAACATCAACTAGGCATGCTGATATACGGCAATTAAGTTTCAAAGGACAATCTAACTAGCAATGTATCAACAGATGCTAAAAAAAACGGACGCATTAAAATAAAACAGTCATTCAACTTGAATCTCATCGAGTAGATATTCCTGATCGGCAAAAAACGAGTTAGACCCAGTCGATTTCAACTTGGCTAGTGGGTGTAAGTATAATGCTTTCGGCAGCTACGGTAAAGAACACTCTTAACTATTAACACTATCTCTCATTAATTCGATTCCGCATTCGCTGGGTGTTACTCCTGGGAGGTAATCCTCCATGCCGTAATGTAAAGCGGTAAAAAGCTCTAGGACGCATTGAGTCGATAATGGAGTTGAATCAGCTGAAACGCATAAAGGTCTATACTTGGGAAACGCGTGTACTGAACAGGTTGATAATTGATTACAAATTATCTCATAGTAGAACGAAAGCCCTGTCATTTTAGGATCAAAGTAGTTTAAGGTCCCTATTATTTCTTCGCGATTTTAAAGACAAGCATACGATACTAAGTGACATTTTCCAGACTGTGTACTGATTTATTCTACATTCTAAACTGTATTTGCCCTAAATGCAGGAGTTCACGGATTTGTCCTTCTATAGTGTATGATTATCTCTTACGAGAATTCTCTTGACTATAGATGAGTTCGTCGCGGTAATCTACGTCTATATACGCGGAAACGGAAATCATGTTTGCAATCCTACAAACGACCTGCGTGTGGCATTACTATAGGAATGGATTCAATCGTGGTATACCTTGTCATTCAGAGATGAGCTCCTTATTTACCCATTCATAAGTGTCCAAATGACATTTGCAAGTGGTGCTACATATGGGGCTCCGTATTCCATAATCCGGTTTAATGAAATTAGGTCAGCATCTTTTACCTTGACAGACGGCAAGGTCACAAGTCATTATTTTCGCTATAGTAGATGTTTGTCCGATATAGCAAAAAGACAAAGAGACCGTACCGCTTACTTGCTCCAGGCAATTGCACTCTAATCGAAGATTATCGTATAGGGTAATTTTCGAGCAGGTGACTCGGAAGTCTAATTTTTCAGATGTCTTGAAGATGCTTGAACCTCTAGATGTATGCTTTGGGTGCAGATTACAGTAAATTACTACCCTTCAAACTCCGTCAAGCATGCTTGCTGCAATTTTTTTCGGACAGCACTGGCCATCGTCATATTTATTCGTCTAAAGAAAAGCATTCTTACTTCGTATTTCACTGAATTCAAATTAGACACCTCCGAATAATGCAATTTACGCATTATTTGTTGCGTGAACTTACTATCGTGAATAGAGCCTTGTAGCTGTTCATAAGAGGAACACAAAATGTCGAAAACTGATCCACCAATACCAGAGTGGGTACCCAAAGAGCGTTAGGAAGCTCGTGTGGAACTTTTCTTAGGAGTTGTACTATTGTCTAGCCCGAGAGTGATCATGTCTGGGGCTGTCCCGCAGGCGCCCACCGAAGGCTCATATCTCTGTCAGAAAAAGTTATCTTCAAAATTCGGCGCGAATTTTTGATCTAACTTGCCTCTTTCATTAGCACTTGCGTCTCCAATATATCCAACGAAAGGCGCATGCCGAGCTCCGACCTTATAGGTTTTACTAGTCACAATCTGTCAAGACAGGCTATCATAAAAGCAACCGAAAATCATGAACGTCATTACTGTTATAGTCTAGTGACTGTTGGGACTATACTGCGGAGCATTTGAATGTTTTTTTTTTTTCAATTTCGTTGCTAAATCAAAAATGATCATAGTGCAGCGAGCTCTAAGGCAGGACTTTGTTTCTACCAGAGTATGCCTATTAAAAATATTCTATTTTGTGTGCATAAGCATACATTCAAATGCATATAGTCAATATATCGGATCCAAAGGGATCAATATTTATAGTAGGACTTTTTCGAGGTCATAGCTTCCGGCTTTTGAGACTTTTGAGCAGCGTTGTGAAATTCATGCTCTTATATATAAATGAAAGATGACAAACTAACAAATAAAATATAATTTGCTAAATATTTGTGGCTGGAGAGTTGTGCTTTTTTAAAGGCATTCTAAAATATCTCGTTGCAAATCCTTTTTACCGCACATCGTCCTTTCCGCACGAAGACGTAACGTTCAACGTCATAAAAGAGTAACGTACCTCTGCAAACATAACGCCGGTGGGTGATTCTCTTTGTGGCAAATGAGCATTCACCCATTAAACGTCTCGTCAACACGGCTGATATAGCTCAAGCATAGAACGCGTGTAATCTAAAACACTTCACCAGGGTATCTGAACAAACGGCCACCAAAGCCACTATCTTTTCTGGAATGCAAGATAAGTATTACATAGCATATAGGGCACAACCATTATTCATGGCCAAATTATTAAACTTTTGTATTAATCAAGGCAATAGTACTATGGATCATATTGTACTGTTGATATCTGGGCTGACTAATTAGGTATCGAGCGTATTTGTCGTTTGTTACTGTCAAAGAAGGAAACGCCTACGAACAGGCGCTTAGTTCGTACTTCCTATGGTGTCCTGGTATGTTAGTTATAAGACTTAGGCGATATATATGCATGTAACTTGTAACTTAAACAAGAGGACTAGGCGAACTCATTTTACATAGAATGATACAGCTCATACGGCTACTTGTGTAAAGGTATTTGCATCAAATACACTTCAAAAGTCACGTTCCGCATATCAACATCGACATCACCACAACAGAGTCAGTTATGCAAGGGAATTGTGGGGGCAATGATTTTCGATTGGTTAATAAAGCTGATCAGGGCTCTCGGTGAGGTTTGACGTAATGGGAGTATAAAATATCTAATAGGCAAAGCTATTCTATAAAGGCTTATATCTCCCTATTTTGTTTGTTTTACGTCCAGAATGGCATTAAAATTCCATCCGAAGACAAGGAAAGTTGCAACAAATATTTATAGATCTAAGAGCAAATGGCTTCACACTGAACCATTTATTGTCCTGCCTATTCCGACCGTGACAATGTTCGCAGTAGTATGATAATTACATAATGAATAGTAGTTTACTACACTTCGTCTATGAAATATTGATCTGACAGCGATACACCTCGTCGACTTCAATAAGCTCTATGGCAGAAACGAATTCTCCAGTGAGTTCGTGTTCTGTGAGGTATCGATTCATCGTTGGCTAATTTTAATGTGTTTGTACAAGAAATCGTCTTCACGTTGCGTCAAGCAAATGCCCTATGCAGAAGGCTTGCTTTTTTCAGCCTTCCCTTCACATCCAAAGCAGCTCTCTAGCAGAAATTTGCGTCGGTTGTCGAACCTGCACATCTACGAATTTCGCTTGCTACATCCATTCGTCTGTTATTTTGGCGATTCGGAAATAAATATCAATGAATACAGACGATACGGATTAAAAGCATACGTCCAAATAATTATAAATAGCTACAAACCTCAACAGCGCAGAGCATACACTAGATCTGTGTACTGCACCGCAGGTAGGGTTACTGAAAACCATTAATGCAATTTTATTAGACAGGACATCTTAAAAAAAACCGTTAGAAAATAAGAGCCGTTTAAACGTACGCTTGCGTCATAAAACATCGGACACTGTGAAGTGGAACAGCGGACATCCTGAGCAACCGAAGTAAAAAGGACAAACGATATTGCTAGCAGATATATACAACAGTAGAGCACCTTCAAATGTTCCTCAGCTCAGCCTTGAGCAAGTTGCTGCAACAGAAGAAAGTAACGCGGAGCTGACATCATGGAAAAAATTAAAGAGAGCAAAAACCATAAAAAGTAAAAGTTTGTCTTTTTTATTAGAGAAACAGATGTACATTTAAATTGAAAAATACACCTCACCTCACGTATTTCCGTGTTTGTATCATATCCCGCCAGACAGAAAAGTCGCCGATAATTTGGGCCTGATTATCCGAATAAAGGACGTTCTTTTTTCAAACTTTTTTTTATTTGAAATAAAGCTATTATAGTTGCGTTTTTTTCCTTGTCTTTCCTAACGGTTATTACAATTAGTACTGTGACAAGAGCTTAACAAGGAAATGAGCCTCTTAAATCTGCCATAACTAGAATATTTACATGCACAAAGTGTGTTTAGCAATAAAATTAACTACTATCATGTTTCGGTTGCTTTGATTGAGCGTTACTCTTAATGCAGTTCGTTTGTAGGCTGATTGCGTAAATTATGTACAACATAAATTTATCAAGTTAGCCTTGTCTTCGTTATGGCTCAGTGTCTAATTTTCTTTGCGGACTTTTGGAAGCTTTTGTGGTTGCAACTTTTTGTCCCGTTCTTGAGCATCTTTCTTGCCCGGCTGTCCAACGCTATTTTCACGCTGTCTGGCAGATGTCTTATCCTGAAGTTTTATTTCAATGTATAACACGACATATTAGTTCTCTTTGATTAATTAAAACTCCGATAGTCTAGTACTGGTTGTTGTCTCATCGATTTGGATCCCGAACGATCCGGTACTATAAAGTCTAAACCTAATTTAATGGTCAGCTTTTGAATGTTAATCGATTATATTATATTGATAGCTACAGTTATTGCAAAAGCCATAAGCTGTTTGTCGGAATTTCCGAAAAACAAAAAAAAAGGGTTCTTGGTGGGCAGGGACGTCTGTGGCTTCCGCAAACGTTCCACCTCATCCAATATGTCACGTATATATATATATATATATATATAATACTTGAAACTGAATCATGCAGACGAGTGTTCGGCTTCCACCTAGGCAAGGAAAGTCAACATTTTCTCTAATTCTTTGTTAGCGAATTATGAGAACGCACAACAGCTATATACTGATCACTCAACTCAAATGTATTAAATCTTTTATATAAAATTATCTTCTATAGGGATGGTTTTTTCGTCAAGCCAACTACCCAGTGAAGCGCCTGATCATATTCTGAAAGCTGTTAGGTGTATTGAAAAGGTCAATATTGGCCTATGAAGAATCAATTAGTTGGTTTTGTATTGTGATGATAACAGTCTATAGGTCGATAATTATTAGTCTGTTACCAGGTCGAATGTGTAGTTTAGTATAGAGAAGTTTCGTCCTTTGTACTTCCTAAGCCTCGTCTTGCAGAAAATAGTTTTTTTACACGCATTTGCTAATAAACTAAATAGTTCCAATGCCAAAAGCAAATTTTTCATTCAGTTCAGACCGATTGGCAACTTAGCTGGCAGATGGAAAACGCCTTCTTCATAATCTGCTTAGCAGCGAAACAGCGAGCAACTATGTAGAATTAAACTACATTCATTAATAAATAGGGGGGCAAATTGAAGTATCTCCAACTCGTGAAATTTTAAATGAGTACGAACCTGCCCAGGTGTGGCGCGGTCAGAACGTTCCCATATATTTTCCCGAACTACTTGCAAGTCGTCGACTGAGAAACTCAAGTATTTGGGAAGCTGTACGACGAACGCCCCTTATGACCTCCTATACTCACGCATATGAATAATAGATCGGTGAACACTAGCTCTGTTACCAATTAGCATTAGATCAAACAGAAACGAGTGTGATCGCAGGCTGACGAATCTTTTTTCACTGCTACTATATTCAGTAGCCACCGATGAAGTGGTTATACGTAGCGTATTTTATTAACCGTTTAACAAGTTGATATTATTCGATTTATCGGAACAACTAAAAACGACACTTGCGGGGAAAAGGAAAAACAACTAGTGAATGATCGGTCTATTCCCATTTGAAATTGCTATCGCGATGGATCGTGGTCATCAGCATACGAGAAAGTTCCTTGAAACGCTTTTTGCTTAAATACCGTCTTAGTAACAATGCTTAAGAGAAAAATGCCTAAAAAGACACAAAAACTCAACTGTTAGAGTTTATCGGGACGGCCAAACTGGCAATTGATATCCTCCGTTCTGAAATGACCGTCAAATTTTCGTCAAATTTTTCAAAATTTCGTGTCAAAAAACGCGTTTTTTTTTAGCAATCTTGTGGAATTTTTTAGTCTTCTAAGATCTAATCAATAACACTTAAGAGTCTCCCGTTTTACTCTATAAAAGTGTTCTCTCGACTAGTTGGGAGCTGCATTAAACCTGGAAGTAACGTAGGCCACAAATTTTAAGTGGGATCCGTCCAGCGCGAAAAGATTAAAAGAATAGTCGATTTTCGCTCGGATGAGGAGTTTGTTGTATTGTTCTGGAAAAAAAAACTGACTTTTGCCTCGTGTCAGGGGCAGCAAATAAACGCGTGCCGGCCAGGGCAAACTACCCATCAAAGTTTTCCCAAATTTACGTTGATGCGACAATTTTAGATAGTGGATGGTTCCTAATGCAGAAAGTTAGAAGACGAATATCGTCGTTCTATCAAGTACATCTGCACATTAAGCTTCAGATGAACGGTGAACGGCAGTGAACGGTGATCGGTAAGCCAATCGCCATAGCAGTGGTGCACGATAAAGGTACAGATTGATCAAAAATTAAATAGTTACGTTGCTGACGCACATCAAGAGGAACATGGCTGTACTGAACCGTCCTAGTGCCATCCGGTCGACTTCGGTATAACACGACGTAAGCATTTCTACTATGTGCTGGCTCGCCTCTGGAAACCGTCTGGCCTTGTGGTGCCATTGGCACCCGTTGAGGCTTTGTAAAGGTTTGCGGTAGCGGGTGTGAGACTTGCTGCTGATACTGCCTTTATCAAAAAGGAAGAATGTACAGTTGAATAATGACCATTATATTAGAACAAAGTAAACAAGGTCAAGCGAATTTAATTTTATTAAGCTTTTAAGGGCAACATGAAAGGGGGCGCATCATGGATCGTCGACACCTTTATTTCATTAATTGTCAACTTTAAATTTTGAATGTAAAAATTTAACTATATAACAACGACTACTACCCAAATTGCGTCTATTTCATGATGTTGACGCAGATCCAGAATACCACTGGCCGAACCCGAACTTTCATAAGGCTACAAAATTTGAATCCTAATCTCCTGCGGAAATAGAGTGATACACAAACTTTGAATTTAAATTTTCGCTTTAAAATAATGTAGTAGCCACAAACCAGCGAGCGCTAGATAAAACCTGTCCTAACGACAACAACGAAATGTGGCCAGACAATAAACCTTTATGTTCGACGTACGATCCTCAATTCGCTCTTGTTAATAGTAGCCGCATTAGAAACGCCATAGATAAAGGTGTAAAATTCTCTACTTATCTGGAACTAAGACTTTCAAAATGCTACATAGTTCCTGAAGGGTTTCGGAAAAAACCCATGCGGGGCTCCGCAGTACCCGCAGGAGGCGAAGTTTTTGAAACCTTACCGAAAGTGCGTATCCAATAATATTAGCAATCGAATTTCGAGGTTACTGACTTTTTTTTCACAGAACCCTGCCGTTAATGTCCTCGCTATAGTTCTATTGCTAGTTGTAGGGTGGTGGTTCCTTTGAAATCTTACGAGTAGAAAGAGTAATTGTATTTATGTTACCCGAACAGAACTGCGCAACATGCTTATAATATATCTTAATTATTCCAGCAGTTTATGAAAGGTGCTTACTGTTACTTAGGTAGCGACTCCCTCACGGTTGCGCTTTACCTACCCCGCTCCGGTGACATTAAAATGAGTTCCTAAGCGTTGCGGGCGCGTTTTTCGTATCATGGAGACAGGGCAAAGGTCCTGTTTCATAGAGAATAATCACGTTTGATTCAATCTGCCGAGAAGTGGAGAATTCAAGTCGTATCATTATCCTGAATGCCTTAGTGCTTTACAAGGAGAGTAAGAACTGCGTCTCAATCAGGAGATTAACGGCAACGATTGGTAATCTGCTGGGCTTTTGGTGGTTATTGTTGTAGCAGATGAATGGACAGCCTTAGCCAAGTGCCAATCTCAAACGAAATGACAGCTAGAGAAATCAATTGACTGCTACCCCTTTCTATCTCCAGTGCAATTTAGGGCAGTATTCTAACTCACTCGTACTCTAGTAAGGCGGCCTAGAATCTTACAGCAAATGGACGCCATATTGGATAGAAGACGTGGTCTACCAGATCGACAGGTGTCGTGTCCAAAAATTTGAAATATTTTGAATTTCTATCTCACTTCCGAAATCTCGGCGCGTACGCTAAAGCTTAAACTGAGTCCACTAGGAACTAAAATATTGATAACGTAAATCTCGTTTGTTAATTAAAAAAAAAATAGTCGATCGAGTACAACGCGATTATGTTTGTGCTTAACGGAATTGTGGAACAGAAGTCAAAAAAACCTCTCTGTGAATGAGGGGATTGAGAAGTAACTGATCACATTCATCTGAATTAATATACGACTTGAGGCGTAAAAGCCTGGCATTTTAACGGTAAATCCTATTCACTTTGCTTTTTTGGACAATCACCTGCTACTTCAGGGGTAGTGAGAATCGTAGGATAGCGAAACGTTCAGTGCCGATTTATTTAAGGGGGCCAAAATATATAGGTCGTCCGCAAGACCACAGTTAAGAACCCGAAGAACCAACTGAGACTACGATTGATACAGGAAGATAGGGCATAAAGAGCGGAAATGGCAACTAGTCCAACAGGTGACCGCGGCTTTGGAGAGAGATAGGGATAAACCAAGTGGGGGGCTCCAAGGTTTCTGGATATAAAAAGATGTAGTGTAAATAAAGGAACAGGCAGGCAAGCTAGGAAAATAAACAGTCCAACGTGGAAAAGATGGGCCAGGAAGTCACAACAGATGATGATAGGAAAAAGTGGAATGTTTCTTAACACAAAAACAAACGCCATAGTAGAATACAATAAACTAATAGACACAATTACAATAGAGATTAGAAATCTAAGGAAACGATTTACGAGACAAACAAATGCACAGGATGATATTGCCAGAGGGTAAACACCTTGAGCAGTCAGGCGCCAAAATTTAAAGAATACACTCCCAAGAGGAAAGGCTGATGAGCAATACAGAATACATATAGAGATGCAACAATGGTGCCTGAACTAGATCAAAGAGGAGCTTAACCCCTGTAAAACAGTAAATACAACAACTATAGCTATCAACGTAGCGATCCCATAATTTGCCTTCGCTGATATAGGGAGATAAAAATAGAAAACCGGTAAAAAAAAGAAAACAGGTAAAGGAGAAAGTTAATTTCTAGCCAATATACTTCCTCGCGCACAACAACTACGATCTAGCCGATAGTGGAGATAGAGCGTACGAAAAAAGACCAGGGACAAGAAAGACGAATGCTAAAGGTAGCTGGTAAGTCATTCAAAACGAAAGTCGCAAAGGATAAAAAGGTCCAGAAAACTTCGTATGACTTACGAGATCATGTAAGACTAGGTCATATGGGAATAACAATGGGGAGATTACCAAGTTGCACGAAGGGGACGTAAAATCAATGATTTTGAGTGAGAGAAAAGTAAACTATTTGCAGAAGTGTTCAAGTACGACGTAGGAGACAAGGGACGGTGTGCTCGATATATTTGTACCGCTTAAATATGTTCATCTATTCTTAGACGCTTTGAAAATTGAAGTAGTCCCCAGATCAGTACTCAATGCACCCATGAAGGTAAGGGTCAAAGGTAAAATCCTCAAATTCAAGAACAACGGTTGAGCCCGCACAGCAGTCATTTCACTACTCTAGGTTAAAAGGATGCTTGCAAAAGAGGATCGAATTTGGTAACACTCAGTGCTTTCCGAAGCAACGGGTTTAGAGTCCGATTTACTTCAGCTGACAGACGTCTCGACTCTTCTTAAAAGATTGTGAACGCGAGAGGTGTTATAAGTGAGGGACAGCAGGACGAATAATAAAAGAACGTAATGTCAATGAAAAGCTGTTCTGCTTTGCTGACAACCTGGAACAGCATTAGGCCAGCTCAATGGTTTGCCTTATGTACAAACAGAAATCGAACGAAATACGGGCAAAGAAGAAATAGAAAAACAACCTATAATAGAGGGCTGGATATGCAAGGACTGCAAAGAAAGATCTCAGAGAGTAAAGATGAGAAGAAAAGCTGCCAGAGAGAGAGAGAGAGAGAGAGAGAGAGAGAGAGAGAGAGAGAGAGAGAGAGAGAGAGGAAACGAGCTCAGACAAATTGCAGAATATACAAAAAAAAAATGTCATCAAGAGCAAGGAAATTTTAATTGGTGTAAGGAGGTCTACGTTACACTGGAATACAGGTAGTTATTTTTAGGGAATTAAGGAACGTGACAACGATATCGAAGACGGACAAGTCAGACAACCGAATAAAGGAAACAGGAGTAGAAAAATAGAGTAAGGGCTTAACATAACGCTAGTGGCTGTAATGTGTGTTTGCTACTTTTCATCGAACATATCTGAAGAGGAATTTACAAAGTTCTTTTTTGAACTGGAATGTAGTACGCGTGCACGATGCAGACACAAGAGATAATAATCACGGTGTATTTTAACGCATCGTCGACACAGTGAGGTAGTAACGAAGAGAGTTGTTGTACAAGAATGGATGATGGAAAGGGACTCGTAGTACACAACAGCGGGTCGTCTCCTATCTTCTACCGAGAAGAGATGGAATTCTTTACTGATGTACCAACTGTTTTTCAGGAAGCCTTGCCCAAAATACATGTCTGAAGAATGGTAAAAGAAAAGACAAGTACAGGTGATCATATACACATCCTGTTTAGAATATATGGAGGATCTATAACTCTAGAAGGACATAGAGTACAAGGCAGAATTGGTAGCGGCGAAAAACTAATTATAAAATTCTGGGTCAGGACATGGATTGGGGTATAACACAAAGCGCAGATGATTATAATGAACACGTGCTGAATCAAATGATGACACAAAGCTAAATCTCCACAAAATCTCTCTAGATGGTGTTGAACGCTATAATGGAAAGCCATCACTCAGCATACTGGCGCAATGATGGATTTCTCGTGGCCCGCCTTACTTGCGTATACCTGCGACGTGCCTTGCAAAGAACGCCAATCTAGCTACGAACAGGAAGCTACGGCGAAGAAGATGCGCAAACAAAAGTAGAAAGATAGAGAGAAAAAGTTAGAAAACGGTAAGACACAAAATACTCTCTTCAGATAGAGTAGAAGGTGCAAGTGAGACAACCCTGTATAAGCAGTTGACAATTGCCATGAACAATGTCAAAAGGGACATACTGAACCTCCCAAAAGACGTAGCGGAGAGATCAGTAGATTTTTTATACCCCAAGCTCGTTTGGAGAAAAGGACGCAGATTGAGGTGGTAGAGGACACAATATATTATTGTTTCGATTGACCTTATTTAAAGTCAATCTAAACAGGGAATGTCTAGCCTTGGGCAGGGGATCGGGATCATGTAAGGTCTTATGATGTACGGTGAAACTGTTTATCACGAGGTGCGGGAACGATTCAAGGTTCCTGTCAATAAATTTTTAAAGAGGGTCAATTTCCTAGGGAATAGAAAGACGTTAAAGTTGTCTTAACAACAAAACTTGTGAACTCCAAAAGCGTACAGCCTCATTTCAAAACTATGGAGTACCTTATGGGCGTTTATTTTTTTGAACTGGGAATAAAAGCCAACTACGCACTGGCAGACTCGCAATATGGCTTCTCTAGGAATAAATCGGCTTTCCATTAAGAGAGTGATTCTAGTGGAGGCAAGTCTTTGATGTTATACTTAAAAAATGATTCCAGGCGTTATTGACATCAGGAAAATAACTAAAAGTATTAAAAAGCAGATCGCGTAATAGGACTCACTTATATTATCTTAAAATAGTTGATGTTAGAAACGATTTCAGTACCATAACGGATCAGAAGGTTATTTCGGGACCTTTAAAAAAGAAACAGTTCGGCACCTTAGGAAAACAACATCTACATGCTTAGAGGATGGAACGCCCAGGTTGAAAGGCTGAATAAGAACGTCAGAGGGGAAGTCTCGGAAAGGTAGGTTGTAATACCAACTCTATCGAACCTTGTTTATGACGAGGCAAGGTTCCTAGTGTGGCTCGTGCCCACGTTGAAAGGTTCTTTGGAAAACACGAGATACGCTGGATAAAAAGAAAACAAAAAGGACTCTGCATATGGGATAAAAAGCGGCAGCAATTAAGTAGCGAAAGCATACACGATTTGTCTCCACTGAGGCGGTTCTGGTGCTGACTAGGATACTATCCTGAAACCTATTGGCAAAACAGCTATCAAGAGAAAGATATAGAATTAGCAGGAGCAAGGAGAACCACAATACGCAACAGCTATGCTCGCATCCAAAACAGGAAAACGGTTTGGGAAACCTGACAAGTATCCTTATTCCAAATTCGTAGAATTTAATCATAATGATGAGCTCGCTTCTTACACCACTTTGATACTAGGTGGGCATAGAATATAGCAGAACTACACCAAATCGGAAGGATGCAGAACAGTATATGTGAGCTTTGCGCGTCAGGTAAAACAAGTTAAATGTACCGCACTCTCTCTGAATGTGAAGCCCTGCAAAGAGAGCTGAGGGATGTAGTGCGGGACTGCGATTAAAAAAAATCCCTGATTGAAAGGGACGATTTTCTTTGGGGAGATCATGCGCAAGAAAAAAAAATTCGAAAAAGAGAAAGGAAGAACGCCGTCAAAAAGTAGATGACGTAGGACTAACTTGAAGTAGGAACTAGGCCCCTTCCTTTGAGAAGTTTGTGGTTACAGGCCTCAGGAGAAGTAATAAAGAAGACAGTAATTTAATCTAACAGAACTCGACTTTCCTAGTCAACGTACAGACGAGTGAGCTATCGCTTGAATTCCGACAAATGGACCATTTAGCTTTAGGTGTCTCGACTCTGTTCTTCAACTGTTTACCCATTAATTGCATGGAAATGTTGTCAATACGACTAGAACAGGTAAGTGGCACCATTGCAATATTTCGAAGAAGGCGAATTTTTCGCTAAAAAAAATGTATTGGGACATTTTATCAACTAAACTGAAACTTCGAACTTTTGTAAATTCCGCTGGAAATCAATCAAGCAATGAAAGATAGACAGCCAACATAAACAATCGTTTGTTTGACAGCAAAGCTGCTTAAAATTTAGAATGTTTTCCGACTTTTGATAAGCTTCGTAGTCCAGACGAAAATTTGTAGTGCGTGGCGGGCTTCTGTAAGACTTTAGCGAAACTATACATATTGATATCTCGCCAATCATTGAAGCATATGTTGAGTAAGAAAATATCTGGACAAAGATTATGCGGGATTTTTGGGCAATAATTAGTATAATTGTTGAATGATGCGACAATTAAAGCGGATAAAATGGCTTGTTAGAAATGCCTTTAATAAAAAAGTATTTAAGGAACATGATCACCACTATCGGATAAACTATGTGATCCTGATGACATCGATTGGTTCTCGTTGAGATGCGCAAGCCTCAGGTGCATCGAGCTTGTGCATAACTTATCGAGAAGCAGTATTGAGTAGTTATTTACCAACTTACCTGAGGGTATCCTTTAAACGAGCTGTAGAAAGGAAAATTGAATTCGGTTCCATACGTATACCAAGGATAATAATAGCCAACGTACTGTGGAAAGTACGCAGCAAAACTCGTGGTAATTCTCGGTAGAAAAATGTCGACTCGTTTTCCTTCCTTATCATCACCGCCTTCTGATGCATGATTTGGTCTGAAAAACATCTTTGTCGTGAGGTTGTCTGCGTATACAGGCGGTAGTCTGCTGACTTACCCAGACTTACCACGGAAGGTATAAAGCAATAAGCAGAAGTTCTCTTTTTATTTTGCAATTTTTTTTTTGCAAATTAAAGCTCACCCTTATGGACCCTCTTTAAATTCAAATTTTCAGTCGCCTATTTCTATATAAAATGAATTATGATTTTCTCTTTTTAATGTGCAATTGTACCAATATCAGCAACAGCTCATCTGTAGATTTCATTAAAATTCTGTATTCAGTGGTCTAGCATTGTTGATATTTTCTGCAATAGAAAAAGGATTTTGTTACAAGTGTATCAAGGTTACTTTGATACGATTTTTCCCTTGTTGGATTTTTTAAAGGATTTCCTGGTATTATACTCGGTTATTTCCTAGATTGACTTTTTCGATATATAAACTACTTTGGATGCCAAAATAGGTAATTAAAGCAGAATAATTATTTCTTTAGCTTGTGAATAAAATTGAATGAAACAGTTTTCATTAATGTTTTGGCAACGGAGCCAGTCCTTAAGCCCCTTCGACGCAAAACTATTTCTGATAATGTCTCTGAGGCAGCTCCGATCGAGCGCGATACAAGCAAGTGTCGTTTTCTCGGTGTAACTTCTCAATGGTTATATACCAGTTTAACTGTGTGTAGGAAAAACTTAATTATTATACCTGTACATTTTGAGATACAAGAACTTATTCTAAGTTAACCAAATGCTGCATCGGTCCTGGCGTTACGCCTTCCTTTTCTTAAAGAGTTGCGAAAGAATATCTTTGTGGTCTAATTAATAGAGGAAAGCATAGCGAATATCGATGACGAAACTCAGTCTGGAAAGCTCTGGCGAGGTTCATATGAATGAAAATAGTGCAAGGAATCCAACTATTGGTTTCTAGATTCGAGCCAGAAAGCTCGAGAAAAACAACAAAACATCTAGAAAGCTAACATGTGAGCTCTAGTTGATATCTGTACTATTATACGAACAGTTTCAAAATCAGTGCGCTCAAAAGCTCACCATTTTGTAGATACCTTTTTTGACCCAGTGGACTGGTCCACAGTTATGTAACTTTGTAGCTCGTTTATGTATGTTGCATGCACAAGGTAAATAGTGACCAGGAGAGGGTAAGTTGATATCCTGCATAGGCAAGAAGATATGCAACACAGGCAGGATCATGTTTCGAATCCGCACGCATTCACAGATACCATTTCACTACCGTTCACTTTCGCGGTAATACCCCTAAAGACCGGTGGTTAGCTTCGAGCAACTAATGGCTTGGAATAAGCTGGTTATTTTCACACTTACTTATAATATCCGACAAACAACGAGACCCGATGTCCAGTAGGTACAATGCCCACCTGCACAGTGGGTATTATGTTTATGGTCGGTTGAACCGGTCCTAACGGCGGGAACGCCACCACCTGCGTATTCCAGGGTCTTTTGGTAGTGGTTAGGTTCTGAGGAGCATTCAAGACTTGATTGTGGTTTGCGCGTTTACTGCAATTCAGGTTTATATTAATGGATTATGCGGGACCAATTGGCTCTCATGTACTTCATAAGGATGAAGCTATTTGAAACATGTTGAAAGCGCTCATCTGATCTCTAGATGATATTACATTGTTGGTAATCCAAGAAATCTTGTAGCCACATTGTTAAAGGTGAGGCTAAAGGCTCTATACCTGTGTGTTGTAGATGGCATAATTTTGGATGCTGTTATATTGTGAACTGTTCTAATGCCATCGTCTTCAACGTCACGGCCATTGGTTTTGTTTCTGAGGTCGGTATCGTGTCCCCCGTTCAGATCGCTGTCTGGAGGTGAGCGTTTAAGCCGTAGATTGTTTATCCTGTCATAGAGCATAAACAGTCTGCTCCCCGACAGACGTTCGCAAGCATAACTTTTTAAAGCGTCCAACGGATTTGTAGCGAAACGTCTCGAGCGGCTAATTAGTATAGCCTTACCTATACAAATCGCGAATCGTTAGGCGCGTAGAAAATGCTCTACTTGATTAATTTTTATCTCTGCAGTTTACTGAACGATACTACGGTCTGTCTTGAAAGGTGACCAACCTCAGTGATATGACTTCATTTATTGTAATAAAATTCCGATGAGCTTTCTGCTGTCAGAAAGTTTTATAACATGAAGTTCAGGTCTAGTAAGATATAACTTATTAGACGAGCAAGGACCCGAAATGATGGTAGCGTAGTACTTTGGAGCAAGTAAGCTATAAAGCTATTTAATATTAAACATTCATGCCATAATAGATTGACTGGAATCGGTAGAGTAGGCTAGCAGTACCTCAACACATCATTTATATATTGTCTAGTATTAGCTTATAAAACTTTGCAGGGTGTGTGAGCCGTGCGCAAATGCGTGTAAATTTCAAACGAAGCTTATTACTCAGTAGCGACTCACTCATTCATAGAGAAATTACACAATGCAAAATGCTTAAATACCGTTTGCAGGAGCTTGCCCTGCATCAAGACACCGTGAATCGCATTATACTTGAATTGCAAATGAGCATGTACGCATGAGCAATTCTTATTAGCTTCTCATATCTGACAAAACGTTATAGAATGTTGACTTTTAAGCGAATAGAAGTGATATAACTTTCAAAGAAGATGATCAGTAAAAGTTGCCTGCTGAAGATAGCCTAATATTCGATGCTGGCAGTTACGAGCCGCGTCCAGAAGTAAGCATTAGTAGTAGACGGTGCATGTTTACTTTAGAACTAGCCATTTTGTTTACTGGCGTCAAGGTAAACTTCAATAAGGTGGTGATACAACTAATATAGAAACAGCTGATGCCCGGTAGAATTCAATCTAGCTCTACGCTTCTACATACTGCTTGTTGGAGCGCTTGCGGTCTGTTAGTTAGCCACACTTGCTTATGTGCTTAATTAGTCTTCCGTATAATTCGGGACATGTCAGGCTATAGTGGCCATCCTTTTTTTGCTCTATTTTCGAACTTAATCAACCCGCGTCAGTCGCACATTAGTATAACCTGTAGTTCTGTTAACAATCGAAATAATACATTCTACAGTATATATAGCTCTTTATGCGTTATACACAAAAGAAAGCGTGACACCTTAACTCAGACAAGCGAAACATACCCGAGTCGTACAAGGGGCGTCATTCAAGTCGTACAAGGTGGGTCTTACTATGTATTTTTAATGAAATCTCTTACGATTCTGCAAAATCAACGGTATCACAGAGTACTACTGAAAAAATGACCACCACACCATCCATGACGAAAGTAGTCTTATGGCATGTCTAAACTACGTTTAAATTAATAGACAAAAAGGCGAATCCACTAAAAATGAAGCCGCGACCAATCATGATTAACAAGCATTATTCAGCGCAAGGGGACGCTCAAGAAACGCCAGCTACTTACCAGTACACTGTGAAATAGTGATCCCCAGGAGTACTAGGATTTGAGCGGTTAAAAGGACCATGGCGAGCAGAGGCGCAATTTACCGTAACGATTTGTCTCCGGCTATAAGCATCACATCAGTATTGAACGCTTTCATCGAATAGTTGCCCCTGTGTGTCTAAAGGAAAATAAGGTACGACGCAGGCGCTGAAAAGTAGGAAGCAACGAGCAGCTGTGCTAATGCTTATGTGTATTCATCTGGGATCACACCTGCTCGAAGCATATTAACGTTTTCAAGGAGTAGAAAAGAACTTCATAGGAACCTCTACGTCCTCTCCCTATAGTGATGAGCCCCGGCTATGCTATTGATATTATTAGCCCTGAAGAACAGTGCTATAAAAAGCTGACAAAACAGTGGAACTAACTGTCATGGTAGATATCGATTTCATTATTAGATGAAATCGATAGCCTTAAGGTATTTTTCGAGAGTGCATCCAATACCAAGCCTTCTAACGAGTATCGAAATGTAGAATACTTAATTGATATTGCATGCTTCAAGATAGACTTGCTTGTAAACATATTGTTCGATCACAGGCAGCATATCGATCTTTAAGCATCGTTTGTCCACAGATGATCCACCACAGAGTACGTAAATTATGAGATCGAAGGACAATGACCATTAGTTTCCATAGATATTTTTATTGTACGTTGCTTTGGTGTTTCATATATTAGCGTTCACATAATTGCTGAAGCCTTTGCCCTCTGCAACATGTGAGCCACGGTTGGTGGGGTCACGTTAAGATGTTATGAACTGTGATATCATACGTTTGCCTTCTAAAATCAAGAATCTATAGCGCATCTAGATATCAACGCTTTGTATGATTATCTGTTTTGATGTTTTTGGTTTGTTTATCACAGGAGACCAATACGGATAACATCCGACTTAAATGCTTGCAACTCATATAGGGCAAATTTTACATAGTAACAAATCCAATCATTAGTAGCACATGTAAAAAGACTGTCCGATGTTTTCATTCTCACCTGCGTTCTAATCGCATATGTGAAAATTTTTTTGCAAGGAAACGATTACGCAACAAGAACCCAAACACACAGGCTGGCGACCACAGGAAACGGCGTAAAATATCTTTGAATACCAGCTTCTGGATTGACCACGCATTCCACTACCCAATCAGCCCTAACACATCTTAAACATGTCATTCTGACGGCTAAATCTTACTAAATAGTGCCTAGAACGATCCGAGTAAAGCATAAAAGTTACCCGTTAAAAAATATCTATAGCTGACAACAAAGTTAGAGAAGCAGTTCTGTTCAGGTACTGTATTTCAACTTGCTCCGCGATAGGTGTCGTTAGAATGTGTGAACGGCATCTCAGCCATAAGTAACAATCGAGAAAATGTTTCGGATGGGCGCATCAACGATTTGCATGTAGTCGCCATGACGCCAATTCAGCAACACTATGGCAGAATAGGTCTTCATGAAGATTTATGGGGCTCTATCCAACTCCACGCATATATCTATTCAATACCTAAATGCATTAATCCTCCAAAGTAAAAGCTCTTATTCTGTTGACCGGCCATAAATAGTTCGTGTGTCAGAGATGTCGATATCTAAATGGACGGCTTCAAATTCACGTTTGAAGAAAATCGGTCCTACTGAAATGGATATCCGCATTTTTTTTTTAATTTCGAGGCCTACTACTCGTCCCTGTACTGTCATTGAATGCGGTTGCCGCACTTGTCTTTCATGCATCCTTCCAACTTTGAAAGAAGTCGTTCTTCATAAAAATAACTCGTACGTATGCATAAGATTGTCCTGAACGTGCCTATGGCGACGAAGCCTAAAAAATCACGTATATAGAAGTAAGAAATTCTACGTAATTTCAAACTGTGGCCAACAATGGTTGTTAGAGTGCTTTTTAACTGTCTGTTAAGTAACAAACCCTAAAATAATTACGGTTACTACAACAAACGCAATTTTTATCAGACAAAGAATATAGCTCTACTACTGTTTATCGATAGTAGAAGATCCCACTGATAAGCCTTCCGATGGACTTCCCTATCGAACGTTTGCGTTGACTTCCAATGAGAAAATCCGTTTACGCTGACCGAGACTCTAGACGGTTAACGTATTCCTCGATGACGGATACCCTTTGAAAAAAAATCAGGGATTCCTTTGAAAATAACGTTATATATTTAATTATTGAGAATGAATTTCTTGGTGATATTCTGAGATGAACTGGGTGCTGATAAGCGTCTGGGAACACCATTTCATTCTATTCATTATGCTGACTTTTTTTTTTAAGCTCATTTGCGCACCTTGAAAGGCGAGATAGATTCATTAAATTAGTGAAATAAGTATTATAATGGAAGTTTGCCGAAGTCATAATGGAAACCGAAAAGTGGAGAACCTACTCTGTGACCTGAACCCTTTTTTTGCTGGCAGTACTTTACTCTCACTGCTGCAAGACGATGTATCTCACCTGATCGGCTGTACTGTCGTTTAAGTTTATGAAGCCGACTTCCGCGGCACTTAAGACGGTCAAATCGAGGCCGTAGTCGTACAGATAATATAAACACCTCTTTCGGCACCGAATTGTCCATAGATCCAATCAAATAATCTTTAATTGAACTAAGGTAAAATATAACAGCTGGGAACGTATCTGCTGCCTTGTTTAAGGTGATCTAAATGTAGCTTTGATAACCGTTCGACGATCACTAGTTTTAGCGTTGGTAAGTAGTTACCATTATTTTACCGTTTCTATAAATCTGTTCGAACTCTAGATAAAGGTAATAATGATCCAGCAAGGCCAACGCTAACCAGACCTTCCAGTATCGGTAGAATTGCTGGAAAGCTAATTCCAAATACGTATTTACACGACGGGTATAACTAGACGCGTTCAAAAAGTAAATTGTTATAGATTTCATAATATCAAATGTATAGACGTGTCCATTTCATTGTAGGCTTTTGAGTTTCTGACGCATTAAATACAGTATAACGTACTCTTGTTTACTTAGTTTATGTAAACTTACTGAAAATAGGTTTTTAGGATAGAAGATCCATTAAAACTCTACTACTGCAATTAGATCTATGTTTTGGCTGAAGGTCACTATAGCCATTTCTAGCTCATTATAAACGTGTCTCAGCGAGAGGCAAGTCTAATGAGTGTTGAGGTTAGTCTAAATAAAATATCCTGTAAATGCTCTTCATCTTTGTTGTACAGTTGCCATTTAGCTTTACTATTTCGCAAGGAAAGGGTTCACGTTTTCACAAGTCTAAAATTAATATCTTCCGATGAAGTCCGTTAGAAGTTAGCCCCTGAAAAAATGTTGGATAGCTGCAATACGAGTTTCAATTCAGCTGGTGTCGACCGTGTTTTGTACCGCTACGACACAACAACCAATAAAAATTTCAAACTTACGATTTAGAAGACACGACAACCTCTGATCTGCAGAAAGATGGCAAAAGAGGACAGAGACAAAACTACTATTCGATATGTTAGAAATGTACCTACACAGGGAGGACAGCAAGATCAACTATAAGAGCATTTATCAACAGCCTATTTGAAGGTTCGGCATACACTTTATTGATTGTCCGTGTTATCGCTAGTCTTCCGTACTCTGAACGTTGCTTCAATTAGTTTTCTATTTGAGCTATATATAGACGTTTTTATTTTGCAATGATATCAAATATTAGCTGAAACTGGTCATTGATTCTTAGGGAGACGCTAGATGTACATCGTATATATATATATATATAAACATTTGAATAGTATTTGCAACAACTATTAAATTTCTCGTAGTTAGTGCTATAAAATAACGTGGGTAAAATATAAATACGAAGATTTACCTAGATACACTGTATATACAGCGGAAACCTCCTCTACCAGAGTCAACAAGTTCCAGGGGGAATTCGCCAAGCGCCAACATCGCGTTCTGGTCAATGGAATCATTTAGAAATATGGATATAAACGAAGCAATGATAGTGAAAAGACAAGAAAATATTACGTATTTCCGTACTTCATCGTTTCAATACAGATTTTAATACAGAGGCACGCCATCAACTTAACGCTGCTTTATTTCGACAAGTGGCACAAAGACGACAAAGGGGGTAATTCGAGTTCGTTTATAATCATGTTCCTTAGCACGTAGCGACAGAGTGAAGTGCCATTAATAGCTAACCATCTTGCTAGTGAACTAGAGAAAAAAAAAAAGCATAGAAGGGTACGCACGAGGACTGTGCCACTTTTCTGCTTCGGAAGTCTCATATCGTGAGTTTTCATTGCCAATATAAGAAACATCGCGGGTAGAATGTATTTCCACATGCATTGGGAAGACGTTCGGCTCACAGCGTTACTTAATACTAGGACCGCTTGCTAGGCCTGCTCCCAATGATTATGCCATTTTTCGGTAAAGAAACGCAGACAATGGCGGGCTTCCGTGAGGCTGAACCTGTGACAGAAGTTTGAAATGTACTTTGATGGAGGAGCTTATTAATCGTACGTTGCCGGAAAACGTAGCATTGTGCCCAGACGCGAAACGAAATAACTAGCGCATCGTTAGTAACTTCATTTCCATGGTGAAGTTTGATTTGAACCTCGCGTAGGATATCTTTGAAGGCGAAGAGAATCAATCGCTATTTAAATAGAAATTGCACTGTTAAATCAAATTAATTGTGGGTTGGAGATAACTGCCTTTCTGTTTGTATTTTTTTCGAGGCTAAACATATGCGTATGCAGTAAAATTAAATTCAGTTTTGAAACAAGGAAACGTACGCCCCAACGTAATTTCCCGCAAAGGGCACGCAAATCGAAATTATACCCAATGATCAATATAATTTTGGCATCATATTTGATAACTTTTTAGTGCCGCGTGTAACCTTCATAGTCTGTACTGTCTGTTTAACTATTTTAAGTAAATCCATGATATCGTACAGATTGTCCCGATGGACCTTCACGTAACAGTTTTTTCATACCCACGAACACTAATAGAATGGTATCCTATTGTAAAAACAAACTAATTTAAAAAAAAACCTTTCGACATTGCTACTCAAGTTTTTTTTTGATAGAAAGACCA